CTATCTATTTTTCTATCTTTCTATCTTTCTATCTATCTATCTATCTATCTATCTATCTATCTATCTATCTATCTATCTATCTATCTATCTATATCTATTATCTATCTATCTATCACCAACTATCCACCCATCTATCCAGTGGTGGGATTCAAATAATTTAACAACCAGTTCTCTGCCCTAATGATTTTTTCCAACAACCCGTTCACCAAACTGCTCAGAAGGTTAACAACTGGTTTTTCTGAAGTGGTGCAAACTGCCTGAATCCCACCACTGCATCCATGGTGGCGAAGTGGTTGGAGTGCGGCATTGCAGGCTAATTCTACCCATTGCCAGGAGTTCGACCCTGACTGGCTCAGGGTTGATTCAACCTTCCCTCCTTCCAAGGTCAGTCAAAGAAGGACCCAGATGGTTGGGGGGCAGGAGGCTGACTCTGTGAACCAGGCGGAGAGGGCAGTCAAGCACTGTGAAGCGGCATATAAGTCCAAGCGCTGTTGCTGGTGCCGTCACCTCTTGGCGCTGGCCAGCTTGCAATTCCGGAAGGCCCAAAAACTCACCCAATCGACATGGAGATGGGGGAGGTTTTCTCTCCAGCCCCACCTGTGTCTCCTACGCACACACACAGACGGCAGAGTCAGTTTTTAAGCTTTTTACAGGTGGTCCTCAACTTACAACCATTCGTTTAGTGACCGCTTGGAGTTACAAGTCTGAAGAAAGTGACTTATTTTTGCTCTTGATGGTGGCCCTTGTAGCATCTCTAGGGTCACAGGGTCAAAATTCGGGCGCTTGGCACAACAGACTCATATTTATGACGGTTGCATTGTCCCGGGGTCACGTGATCCCCCCTTTGCGACATTTTGACAAGCAGAGTCCACAGGGAACCCCGATTCACTTAACAACCGTGTTTCTATCTTAACAACTGCAGTGATTCACTTAACAACGGTGGCAAGAAAGGTCCTAAAATGGGGCAAAATTCATTTAACAACTGTCTCTTCTTAGCAACGAAAACGTTGGGCTCAGTGACGGTCACAAGTCGAGGACCACCTGTTGATAACCTTTGTAAGTGGGAAAAGACGCGATCGGACAGCTGATGTTTCAACTGGCATAGTTCTCCTCTGACACCTTCGGCAAGGATTGTGATTGTAAAAGCGCTAATCTTCCACATTTTCAGCCATCAAGGCACAGAGACCCCCCACCCCCACCCCCAAATCCTCAGCTGGTGCCATGGGGCAAATTGGCTCTTACCTCTGAAGCTGGTTTCCCGATTGGCACCAAATTGTTGTCTTTCTCAGCTATGCTCTGCAGCTTAAGAGAAAAGGAAAGGATGATTGAGCCAAGATTGCCAATTCCTCCTAAAACCGGGCAGGGGGCAAAATTTAGGGGGGAGGGAGAAGCAAAGGAAGGGGACCACCCCCCACCCAACCCCAACCCCGCTCACCCAAGCCTGGTGCTGTTGCTCCTGCTGCTGCAGTTCATTCTCATCCACGCAGGGCCGGTCCAGGTTAAACCACAGAGCTTCGGTGACACGCGGGAAGAGGGAAGGGAAGAGGGTGGACATGGCTCCCTGTGGGTCAGAAAGAGNCTCCCAGAATTCCCCAGCCAGCGGATGCTGGCTGGGGAATTCTGGGAGTTGAAATCCGGACATCTTCAAGTGGCCAAGGTTGAGAAACACTGGCCTAGTGGAAATAAACCCACCCAAAAGAAGGAAAACATGGAGGAATTCACCTTGAATGGATTCCTCTGAACTGTGTAAAAGGAAGTTCTGAATCAGGAAATGATTTTGGGGACCCACCCCTCGCCTAACAGGCAGTCCTCGACCCCCGACCACACGAGTCCAACATTTCCGTTGCTGAGCAAGACAGGTAAATGAGCTTCGAGGGATTTTACAACCTTCCTTGCCACAGTTGTTAAGCGAATCAATGCAGTTGTGACGTTAGTAACACGGTTGCTAAGTGAATCACTGCAGTTTTTAAATTAGCAACACGGTCCGGCTTCCTCATTGACTTGGTTTGCCGGGAGGCGGCACCGGGACACCACTGCGGCCGTCGTAAATATGAGCCAGTTGCCAAGCGTCTGAATTTTGATCACGTGTCCACGGGGAGGCCGCAATGGTCGTAAGTGTGAAAGATGTCCACAAGTCATTTTTTTCAGCGCTGTTTTGACTTCAAACGGTTGTTAAACGAATGGTTCAAGCATCCCCTTGGTCATGTGATCAGAATCGAGAAAAATGAGCCAGCTTGGTTCACATTTATGACGGTCGCCATGTCCCGGGGTCACGCGATCCTCTTTTGTGACCTTCAATGGGGAAACTAGGTACACTTAACAACCGTGTCACTAACTTAATAAACCCAGTGGTTCAGGTAACAACTGGAACAAGGAAAGTCACAATATGGGGCAAAGCTCACTTAACAACTGTCTCACTTGGCAGCAGAAATGTTGGTCGTACGTCGAGGACTAACTCCCCCTGAACTCCGCTGAAGAGGTTTCCTAGCCCGGGAACGAAACGCTCGGAAACCGAACCCACAAACACGGGGAAGGAACCTCCATCCTGCACCTGAGCTACAGATATTCACCACTATCGCAAAACCACCTGGATCAGCCTCATCCAGCCACCTGGATGAGCCGAGGTGGCGCAGTGGTTAGAGTGCAGCACTGCAGGCTACTTCAGCTGACTGCAGTTCTGCA